CCTCTATCTGTGACACGAAGCAAGCGGCCGCGTGCCTACTGGAGGCTCACGGGGTAAGGGGCAAGCATTAGCGAAAGTCTAAGCGACTTAGCTAGCTCGTGCAAAAAATGCTCGGCGGAAACAGATCTAGTCTCTGCTTGGGTAGTATTTGTCCACATCGACCATCGAGCCTTAAAGCATGTACTCGTTATTAGGAAATCGATATCTCCTGGCGTTCGACATATTTGGAGGTGCATCAATTGTTTCTGCATAATGTCCATAGGTTCCAGATTGATATCTATCCATTTATACTTGCAAAAACATCGCGAACTTGCTCAACAGTGCCATTTTGCGGACAAATTGTTCCGTCGCTGTACGTTCCCTCGGGACCCTGTGTCTGGCCTGCTTACGCTGGACACTGCTTCCCCCCCAGCGGGCGTGTCTCCCTCCGGTCCTGCGTCCACCCAGGTTGCTGCGGCCTACTCGTGCCGATCGTTTACTCACCCATCGCTGTTGTGGCACCACTGCCTAGGTCACCCAGCGCTCCCACGTCTGCGTCACATGTCACAGCACGGTCTCGTCCTAGGTCTCTCTGCGTCGCTTCTTGGCCTACCTCCCTCGCCTGCGCCGCCATGCCCGCCCTGCGTCGAGGGCTGGCTACGCCATGCTCCTCACTCCTCCTTGCTTCGCCCTACCACTGCACCCCTCAAGACCCTGCGACGTGCCTGGCTTTCTTCTCCCATGGCTCGTAGATGCGCGCCTCCACCGCGGTCTCCCTGTGCCGTGTCTCCACTCCGACCGTGGCGGCGAGTTTGTCTCTGGTTGGCTGGGTCAGTTCTGTCGTGCGGAGGGCATCACCCAGACGTACACCCTACCGGACTCCCCGCAGCAAAATGGGGTCGATGAGCGACGCATCGGTTTGGTCATGGAGGTGGCTCGTACCTCCATGATCCATGCCGGTGCACCCCATTTTCTGTGGCCGTTCGCTGTTCGCTACGCTGCTCACCAGCTTAACCTTTGGCCGCGCTCCCAGCGGCCGCAGGTTTCGCCGACCCTTCTTTGGACCGGGTTCCCTGGTGTCGCGTCTGCGTTCCATGTCTAGGGCTGCCTCGCTCACGTTCGTGCCTCCGGTACGGACAAGCTCACTGCCTGCATTGTCTCCTGTGTCTTCCTTGGTTTCCCCCTTGACTCGTCTGACTGGCACTTCTACTACCCGCCGTCTCACCGCTTCTTTCACTCCAGTGACGCCACTTTCGATGAGTCTGTCTCCTTTTACCACTGCTTTCCTCACCGAGGTCTCCCTGTTCCCCCCCCCCTATTCCTGGTTTCCAGTCCCCCGGTCGCCCCTGCTCCCCTCCCTCCCCGTCCTGCTTCGTCTGGTGTGTCTCACGTCACTCCCCTCCCGTTGATTGCTTCAGTCGAGGAGTCAGCAGACTCTGTTGGCCCCGCGGTGCCGTTTGCGCCACCTGTCCCTCCCCCGGTCTCTCCTCCTCCCTCGTCGCAGTCACTGCCGCCGCCGCCGCAGCCAAAGCCGTCGCCGCAACCGCAGCCGTTCGTGGACTCTGGGGGTGCCGCAATTGAGGAGGGTGCTAGTCCTGGGGCTCCTGTCGTGGCTTGTCCCGGCGGGCTCGGGGGTGGCACCGGCGCTGGAGAGGTTTCTCGTTCTGGGGGTGCTGGCGTGGAGTGTCCCGGAGTTAGCAGTGGTGCAGCTGGTGGTCCAGGTGTCGGCGTCGAGCAGCAGCAGCAGTAGCAGTCGCCGCCGGTGTCCGCCCTTCGCCTGCTCGGCCTTCCCTCCCCTGACTGCTCGCCTGCGCCTCCCTTACCGTCTCCTCCTCTTCCTGTCCATGGTCCTGTTTTTCCTCTGCCAGACTCATCCCCGTCTCGTTTCCCACCTCGTTCCCCTCCTGTTTCTCCTCCTCTGTCTCCTGACTCGATGCCTGCTCCTCACGTCTGGTCTCGCCGTCCCTCTATTGCTCGTCCTGTCTCTCCTGTTCAGCGTTCTCACCCTATGTTGCTTTGTTCCCACGCGTATCGTCCTCCCATTTTGCCTTCGCCTCCTCCGTCGTCGCTCACTGTCGCGCCTCCCCCTCTGTCTGACTACCTTTGTGCTGCTTGTCCTCTTGTTCCTCGGGTCCTTGCCTCCCTCGTTACCGACCCGTCTGTTCCTGTCTCCAGTCTTGACGCTTTTGTCGCTCTGTCGCTGACTTTGCCTCTACTTGCCACTACCGCTCTGGTCTCTGACCCCTGTCTATCCTCTGTTTGTTGGGGGTGCTCCTGCCCTCGGCAGTGACGTCTTGGAGGACCTGCAGTACGAGGTTGATTTCCTGTCAGAGGCTGCTCCCCATCTCTGTTCCATCCTGCTAGTCCCTGAGGGTGACCCCGACCCCTCGCACCTAAGCTGAGGCGACCTCGGGACCCTGGGCCTCTCAGTGGATAGCTGCCATGGAGCAAGAGATGGCATCTTGGAGGGCTACCGGCACCTACGTCGAAGCAGTTCCCCCACTTGGGGTGAACGTAGTCGATGGCCGCTAGCTCTTCAAGATGAAGCGCCCCCCTCGAGAGTCGCCTGTGTTCAAGACGCGCTACGTGGCTAGAGGCTACAGTCAGCGAGAGGGGGTGGACTTCCTTCAGACCTTCGCCCCGACCCCGAAGATGACTACTCTTCGGGCGCTGCTACACGTAGCAGCATAGCGTGACTACGAGCTCCACTCCCTCTACTTCTCCACTGCTTTTTTTCAGGGTAGCCTGCATGAACAGGTCTACCTGCGCCGTCCTCAGGGCTTCACCGGTACCTTCCCTCCTGGGACCCAGTGGCTCCTCCGACGCCCGGTCTACGGCCTGCGTCAGGCTCCTCACGAGTGGCACGACACGCTGCGGGCCACGTTAGCTGACCTGCAGTTCTTTCCGTCCTCTGCTGACCCTTCGCTCTTCGTTCGTGATGGGCAGACTCCGTTCTACATCCTTGTCTACGTAGACGATCTGGTCTTCGCTACTACTGACAGGGACGCACTGGCCTCTGTGAAGGCTGAGCTTCTGAAGAGACACACCTGTACTGATCTTGGAGAGCTGTGCCGCTACCTTGGCTTGTAGATCTCGAGGGACAGAGCAGCGCACACCATCACTCTTACACAGTCACACTTGGTGCGCCAGGTCCTTCAGAGGTTCGGTCTTCAGTTCTCCTCCGCACAGCCCACACCTCTGCCGGTAGACAACAGGCACTCAGCTCGAGTTCACGAGGAGTCAGCAGAGCCCAGTGGTCCTTACACAGAGCTGGTGGGTTGCCTCATGTACCTGATGACTTGCACTCGCCCAGATCTCGCATACCCTCTCTGCATCATGGCCCGCTTTGTGGCCATAGGCAGACACCGACCACAGCACTGGTCGGCCGCTAAGAGGGTTTTGCGTTATCTTGCAAGTACATCGGGCATGGGGCTAGTGCTGGGAGGACGCAGGCCAGTGGTCCTTACTGGGCACACAGACGCTTCTTGGTCAGACGACGCACAGACCATCAGGTCCTCCTAGGGCTACTGCTTTAGCCTTGGTTCAGGTGCCATCTCGTGGAGGTCCACTCGCTCCTTGTCTGTTGCTCAATCTAGCTGCGAGGCTGAGATCTACGCCGGTCCCATGGCGGCACAGGAGCTGCGCTGGCTGACCTTCTTGCTTGCCGACTTAGGTGAGCGGCCTAGCTCTGCCGCGGTTCTGTACGCTGACAACAGGGCCATGATCCTCCTGTGTCAGGAGCCTCGACTTGAGGGCAGAGCGAAGCACATCCAGCTGCGGTACTTCCTCCTGCGCGAGCTTCAGCAGCGTCGCCAGGCCCGCGTAGTACACTTGCATAACACAGCAGCGTCGCCTCCGGTGCCAACATAGCTGATATCTTTACTAAGGCGCTTTCGCCTAGAGATCATCAGCGGCACTGCTTGCAGTGAGGTCTAGTCCCTATTGACTCTCACTTGCTAGGCCCTTGATTGTGTACACCTTTATATTTACACCTTCTAGACTGGCCTTGTGGCTTTTTCTTCCAGTGGTTGGACTAATAGTGCAGCCCTGGTATGCTCTGTCTTGCTTGTACTCTTGCTGACTGGTCTTCGGGCCCCTGCAGCAGAGGTTGGACTAGTAGTGCCACCCTCAGCTGCGTGTTTCTTGCTCAGCACTACCCCTTATCTAGCCTAGGGGGTGTGTCAACTTATACATATATTGTTATGTAGAAGTTACAGGCTAGATAGGGTATGTTCTTAGTGGGTACAACCCAAATGCTATATCTCCCCTGTTCTCCCTTGTTCTAATCATTCTTTCTGGTCTTAACACCTGTAGCTTCTCATTTGTTAGGACCTTGATTGTGTACTAGTATATATTATCTTGACTGGCCTTGTGGCTCTTGTCCCAATTGCTGGTCTAGTAGTACCGCCCTGGCTAGCTCTTGTTTAGTTTGTACTCTTGCTGACTGATCTTCGGATCCCTACCTCAGAGGTTGGACTAGTTTTGCCACCCTGAGCTGTGTGTCTCTTGCCAGGCACTGTCCCTTATCTAGCCTAGGGGATGTGTCAAACATATTGTGTATATGTTAATGTAGACTAGACAGGTGCCTACTCTTTTAGGGTACAACCCCTTAGACAAAACCACCTTGTTTGCCTCATTCTAGGTAGTCATTCATTCGAACTTTGATAATCCCTCCCACACCCCTCGAAAGTCGTGACCCAGGAAAATCGGCTCTCACACTGCTCTCAAACCAGGAATGTCCCCCAAACCAGAGACACTGCTCTCACACCCCTCTCAAAACGTGCAAAGTTGGTGAAGTCCCTCAGCCAGATATGAAGGCCAGTGGGCGAAGTTGTCAAACGAAAATGTACGCGTCGTCTGGATTCTAAGACAAAATATAACTCGCGGTGTGTTTTTTCAGACGAAATTTAAACATCCGTCTTAAAACAGGTGAACCTAAAAAAACAGGTGGTCTTAAAAATAATATGAACCTGAAAAACCGAGTCTGATTTTCAGACAATCAGACCGATTTTGTCTGCTATCTAGGGCCCTGTAAAGCAACGTAGGATCAACTCCCGGTAGGTGTTATCTCTTCCATAGCTTGTTGATAAAGCCAGAAACGTTCTGCGTGGAGAAAGGGAGCACATGGCAGTTAAATTTATAGGCACACACAAGATGGAAGCAAGAGGACGTATAGAGTGACACCTTGTCACTTGATACGTCCTGGCTGGGACGTAACAGAGGGGGCACCTCTGACCTCCTGTGGGTCACGGAGGGCTTGAGGGGGATACATGAGGGAAGAACACCACTTCAGCGCTTACAGATAAGCCACACACATGAGGGAAGCACAGCGCTTCTCGGTTAAAGAACAGCCACACACATGAGGGAAGCACAGCACTTCTTGGTTAAATAACAGCCACACACATGAGGGGCGAACAGCACTTCTCAGTTAAAGAACAGCCACACACATGAGGGAAGAACAGCACTTCTCGGTTAAAGAACAGCCACACACATGAGGGAAGAACAGCACTTCTCGGTTAAAGAACAGCCACACACATGAGGGGCGAACAGCACTTCTCGGTTAAAGAACAGCCACACACATGAGGGAAGCACAGCACTTCTCGGTTAAAGAACAGCCACACACATGAGGGAAGCACAGCACTTCTCGGTTAAAGAACAGCCACACACATGAGGGGCGAACAGCACTTCTCGGTTAAAGAACAGCCACACACATGAGGGAAGCACAGCGCTTCTCGGCTTAAGGATAGCCACACACAGCCACACACACGAGGAAAGAACAGCATTTCTCAACACCCCCCCGCTCCTCCTCCCCCTCATCCTCCCCTTCTCCTCCCCGCCCCCTCCCCCTCATCCTTCCCTTCTCCTCGCCGCCCCCTCCCCCCTCCTTCACCCTTGCTAGGCCCGAGGCTCTGCCTCTCACCATATAAGCTCGAATAGCCATTTGTATTGATGTACGGCATGCATACAGGGAAACGGGTATGTCCAACGTCCCCAATCACGATATAAGCATCCTCGTTATTATAAGCACTCTCACCAACGCCCCTCTTGTTATAAGCACTGCCTCTCGACGATCCGACCCTGCCTCCCAAACCCAAGGGCAGGCTCGGCTTCCCGAGCCTGAATCCTTCTCTGATACACCACAGTGTATTCTTCTTCCCCATCCCATGGCTCTGGGGAGAAGTGCGGACCAGCGTGCAAATCTTCCTTGAGGCCCGGGACCATGTTCGGGCTGAGGTTAGGCTTGGGGATTCTACCCGGACCTGGTCCAGCTGGGCTTTCCGGACCACCTTGTCCCGCAGCTACGTTTCCCGCACCTGCTCGTACCAGACCTCGGAGCGGCGACTTGGCTCTCATGGGGTTCAAGGCCCCCAAGCCTGCTAGTACCGAACCTGGCCTCATAAAAGTAAAACTTCCAAACCGGCTAGGCTTGGCATGAGCCGAACCACCGCTACCAGCATCAGCAGCATTACCAGCAGCATTACCAGCAGTATTAGCACCAGCAGCACCAGCACCAGCACCAGCACTTGTGGCCGCAGCATTGGCAGCAACAACAGGAGCAGCAGCAGCAGGTGAGGCTGCTGTACGTGCACCAGCAGCACCAGCAGCAGCACCAGCAGCAGCACCAGCAGCAGCAGCAGCAGCAGCACCAGCAGCAGCAGGTGTGGCTGGTGTGAGTGGAGCAGCAGCGTTACGAGGTGTGGGAACGAGATGGAGAGCGCCTACGTTCCCCAAGGCCAACTGAACTCGCTGCAAGTTTTCTATTAGTTGCATCTCCAGCAGCTGAAGCTCCTGCACCGATGGCGGCGGCATCCCTCCTGCTGCTGCTGGTGCTGCTGGTGCTACTGGTGGTGGCGCTGCTGCAGCGCGTGCTCCTGTTGCAATAAAGTGACTGGTTACAATGCCACTGGTAATAGCGCCATTGGCGACAGTGGCCTTGACAACAGTGCCAAAGGTAATGCTGTCTCCAATACTGTCACTCAAGCAGTCAATATAAATGTCGTCATTGGTACTTTTATTGCCAGGGAAAGCTGCTGGACCGGATTTCATCCCCCCTCCCATTTCTCGCCCCATTGGATCTTGTGTCACCTGCTGCAGCTGCTGCCACTGCTGTTGCTTTCGTTGCTGCTGATCGGCTTGTTGCTGCAGCTGCCGCCACTGCTGTAGCTGCTGCTGCTGATTGGCTTGTTGCTGCTGCTGCTGCTGCTGCTGCTGCTGCTGCGGTGGCTGCTGCTTCCAGTGCTCTTGCTGCCACTGCACCTGACGCTGATGGCTTGACAGCTGTTGCTGCTGCTGTTGCTGCTGATTTTGCTGTCGCTGCCACTGCCACTGCTGTTGCTGCTGCCACTGCCACTGCTGTTGCTGCTCCTGCTGCTCCCGTAGTTGATTGTGCTGCTGCTGCCACTGCCACTGTTGCTTCTCCTGCTTCCCCTGCTGTTGCTGTTGCTGCTGCTGCTGCTGCTGCACACCATGCAGCCCCACACCATGCGGCCCCACACCATACTCAACCCCAGCAGGCAGCCCCCCCCTTCCTGAATAAGCGCCTGCCGACAGCAGGCTATCACCTGATGATTGCCGGCTAATCCCCGAGCGTTGCGATTGCACATCGTACTGGGGCTTCGGACTGCACTGATGCATAACAGGCACCCCTTCCCCGCCCCAAACACCTCCCGACGATTGCCAGCTAATCCCTGAATTCTGCGATTGCGCATCGTACCAGGGCTTCGGACCCCCCTTGATGAACCCCCACCTGTCATACGGGTGCACTGCAGGCGAACCCCCCTCTCCCCCTCCCCCTCCCCCTCCCCCTCCCCCTCCCCCTCCCCCTCCCCCTCCCCCTCCCCCCCCCCCTCCCTCTCCCCATGGAGCGCCTGGTGACAGCAGGCTATCCCCTGAGGCTTGCCGGCTAACTTCTGAATGCTGCAATCGCACATCATACTCCGGCCGCTGAGGGTACCGAGGCCCTGCAGGCGAACCTCCCCCTCCCCCTCCCCACGGAGCGCCTGGTGACAGCGGGCTATCCCCTGAGGCTTGCCGGCTAACTTCTGAATGCTGCAATCGCACATCATACTCCGGCCGCTGAGGGTACCGAGGCCCTGCAGGCGAACCTCTCCCTCCCCCTCCCCACGGAGCGCCTGGTGACAGCAGGCTATCCCCGGACGACTGCCGACTAATCCCCGAACGCTGCGAACGCACATCAGACTCGGGCCGCTGAACGTACAGAGGCCCAGCAGGCGAACCTCCCCATCCTGAGGCAGATAAATGCCGGCTAATCCCGGAACACTGCAATCGCGCATCATACTCAGGCCGCTCAAGATACTGACGCCCAGCCGGTGAACCCCCCCCTCCCAATGGAGCACCTGGCGACAGCAGGCTATCCCCCGAAGCTTGCCGGCTGACTTCTGAATGCTGCGATCGCACATCATACTGGGGCCGCTGAGGGTACCGAGGCCCTGTAGGTAGACCCCCCCCTCCCGATTCACCTCCTGACGGTTGTCGGCTAATCCCTGAATACTGTGCTCGCATCTCGCACTGAGGCCCCTGACCATTCTGATGCCCAGAAGGTGACCAACCCCTTCCTGGTTCACGTGACTCGCCTCCTGGCGACAGCAGGCTGCCACCTGACGATTGCCGGCTGATCCCTGAATGCTGAGATCGCACATCATACTGGGGCCGCTGACCGTACAGAGGCCCAGCAGATGCACCTTCCCCTCCCGATTCACCTCCTGACGACTGCCGGCTAATCCCTGAATTCTGTGATCGCACATCGTTCTGAGGCCTCGGACCATACTGCTGCGGTAAAGGTGACCATTCCCTTCCTGATTCCCGTGTTTCACCTCCCGACGACTGCTGGCTAGCCTCTGACGACTGCTGGCTGCCCCCCAGCGACTGCTGGCTGGCCCCCAACGACTGCTGGCTGGCCCCTGATGGCTGCTGGCTAACCCCTGGCGGCTGCTGGCTAACCCCTGACGGCTGCTGGCTAACCCCTGACGGCTGCTGGCTGACCCCTGACGGCTGTTGGCTGACCCCTGACGGCTGAGGTCCCAGCCTGTACTCAGGAGCCAAGGCAGACCCCCCTGCTGCTGCTGCTGCTGCTGCTGCTGCTTGCCCTTCGCCCTTCCTTCCAAAAACCTCCCTGTAACCTTCAACCTCATCCTCGTTACAAGCCCGCCCGTTTGGCAAGCCGGCACAGGGCCTTTCCGGAGTGCAGGAGGAGGCGGGGAAGGCAGGGAGGGCCACGCTAGAGGCGGAGATCTGGCAGCGGCGGAAGAAGGGGAAGGGGGGGGGTTTGGGGGGGGGGGGGGGGGGAGGGGAAGTAGGGGCAGAGACAATAAAGAGATAGGTAAATTAGGTTCTGAAGCAAAGGTCATTTCAAATCCTCGCTGTTTTAGAGCAAGATGGAATGGAGATAGGAAGAAACTAGGACGCCGACAAGTGCACTAGTAGGCGTATTCTTTCTGGCAGAATGTGCGACACGTTTTATTCAAGAGACGTGAGACGACAGCGTTTCCGCGAGGGAGCAGTAAGAAGAATGGTAGTGTAAGACGGATGAAATTTCAAGATCGTCGCTCCTTGAAGTGTTGCTCTAACGAACCGTTCTTAAACGAGAAACCTACCTTTCCCTTAAGCCGGCCCTTTATCGTTTTGAAAACGATGCCTTCATTTCTGCTGCTGACGTGCCTGACGGTCGACCCGGAGCTCTCAGAGGATCCGACGCTCCTAACAGATTCACCGTCCATGGCCCTGTCACAAAATGCCACGTGACTGTTGCGAAAAAGAAGCCTCCTCGGAAAACGGCACGTGGCTTGTCAAAGACGCTCGTTAAGGCTTGCAGTGTAAAGATGGTTTTCTAAGGGAAGCAGTCAGTGTGGAAAATGCAGAAACATCCTACTAATTGTAGGAGTGACAAGGGGATCATTCCCGTAGAGGCGGTAAAGCACGTGGGACTAGAGGGTTCGTCATTCCCGCAATTGGTAACCGTAAATCGACAGGAAACCCGTAGCTGGAAATTGGTCCGAAACTGTTTCGGCTAAAATCGCCCGTGTTGAAGACACTTGGCGAAACGTTTGGCGATTTCAGCGAAACGTGGAACCCCCTACGTGTAGCTCTGACATTGGTAGCACACTGGGGCAAAACAAACCGCACAATTTAGTGGGGAAACATACCGAGAGCCAGGATGTAAGGAATTAACATTCCTTACTGCGCTGAACTACAGCGCGTACACCCGAAGACCTCTAACTCTCAGGTTCGGCCATTATTGTCGGCCCAGACCTCCCCGAGTCGCGTTCCGACACCCTCGACACCCAACCAAACCATTCACGTCCCGAGGTCCTCGCCCTAGCTCGTCCTAGCACGTCCGTGCCCTATTTTAGCCAGTTCGCTCGTCACTTGTGGACACATTGTTTTTCCGAGGTTCTATTCCCATTATTGAGTGGCTGTTCCATTCCCACTCATAACATATGGTATTCAGCGCACTTTCTTAGGCTAGTCGCTTCCGCCTGCCCGAGATTTTTTTTTTTTTCGGGGGGGGGGGGGGGGGGGGGGGGGGGAGGAGGGATGGCTGGAGGGCCTGAGGCTGCACAGCGGTTGTGCAGGAGCTAGATATGATTAGCTCCTACAACGACGATAGCGTGTGCGCATCTACGCCACTCGATCCCTTCCTTTGGATGGTCTGGATTGATCGTTCCCCGCCCTCCCCCCGGGAACGGACAGCCGTGTCTGTCGCGAGTTTTTGCCACGTAATTTTAGTGGCGTTCATTTCAACTGTTCGGAGTGGCAACTGGCGTCGTCGTTACGCGGCGAAGGAATTTTCAAGACGTCTCGCGCGGACTTCGTCAGCGGCTCGCGAAAATTTGAGGCTCGCCTCCTGGGAAAATAACAGCTGTGGACCTCGCCAGGCGCACGAGGAATGTGCGTCAGGAATTATCCTGACGGGAAGAGACGACACGTACCAGCTACCCGAATTATGCGGGAGTGGTGTGTTGTCCCGATTGCTACCCGATTGCTACCAGGTGGGCGCGTCATCATAATTTCCGGCAGGAGCAACGCAGCGTGGGACGTCGTGTGCCGTTGACTTCTGAAAAGTTCGAACTCAGCCACCTTCGTGCCAACTGTTTCTGCAGTTTCGGCGGCATCTGTTCCTGGCACCCGATAAAATCGGCACCGAAAATTGCGGATGTCGTGGACGATCTTCACGCCAAGCCGATTTCCCATAAAACGACAGTGGCGCCTATGTTTTTCTAGGGAAACAGCCTTGGAGACAGGCCAGCTCCCCAGGAAACAATGTCTCTGGTGCATCGTTTAGTGCCCGCGATTTTCGAGGGTTTCTACCGGTAAAAAGTACGGAGATGCGACAGACCGGGTTGGACGAGAGGGGAACTTCGACACTTCAGGAAGAGCAGGGCAGCGTAGCGGAAATCTCAAGCTGAGTGCCCCCGTGTTGGGCCAAGCGGCGGTAGCAGAATGGCCACCTACCGGCCGAGACCAGGGCTGACTTTATCAGACTATTTACTCTGATTAGTCTGAAATCTCAGACCTGTTTTTTGGCCAAACCTGAATTTCCAGATAAGGCATTTTCCCAATCCTGATCCCTTCAGAGTACGATTCTAGGGATCCTGAGAAAATCAGAGTTGTCGCTAACCCAGTACTGAGTTTTCAGAGCACAGCGCGTACAGACCCTGACTCATTACCTGTATAGTACCAACCTTCGGAAAATTTGGTGAAGTCCCCAATTGCTAGAGACATGCCCCACACACCCCACAACCCCTAAAAAAAATTGGCCAAGTCCCCGAACCCTAGAGACAACCCCCACCCCACACCCCACAACCCATCTAAAATTTCGGCGAAGTCCCGGAACACTAGAGACATCCCCCACACACCCCACAACCCACCCTAAATTTCGACTAAGTCATGTTGTCAGATACAGTCCTCCCTAACACCTGGAACAACCCAGAAGTTTTGAATGAGACTTTCACATTTTTTTTTTAACTGCATTGGAATGAGAGTAAATTCCGCATTTTTAAGATAGGGAAATTCTCGCCAGTTGCCCGTTTGGTCAACTGAAAGTCTACCAAAATGTAACGGTCACGATCGTTTGCGATCGTTTCGACATATATCAATCGTTCGATGTTATGTTGTGATTAACGTCCAAGATTTCCCCACCGGGGCGCTGCAAGGGCGCGAAATTTCTCCCACCGTCCTATTCCCCAGCTTCCCCCCTCCCTGCCGTTTCGATTCCCCCCCCTCCCCTCTGTTTCAATCACTTCCCCCTTCCTCTCCGTTTCGCTTCCCCCATCCTCTCCGTTTCGACCGCCCCCCCCTTCCCCCCCCTCCCCTTCGTTTCGCTTCCCCCCTCCCCTCCATTTTGATTCCCTCCCCATTTCCCCGTCAGTTTCGATTCCCCCTCTCCTCAGTTTCGTTTTCCGTGGCAGTGCGATTTTACCCCCTCGGTTTTTAGGAATGACTTCCCCATTTCCCACATTTAACAACTACGCAAAACGAGGGTATGACAAGGTTGCTGGTTGGGGGGGGGCGCGGGCTGTGGGAGGATTTTTTATGGCTGCAAGGGACTTAGCCGAATTTTTGGGAGGTGTAGGAGGGAGGGAAGTTTCTCGCTGTGGGGGTGTTTCCCGTGTGTGACTCTGGTTGTACGTCCTGGACCCTGAAAAAATCAGACTCGCTGAGTTCTGGACCCTGACATTTCAGACTACAAAAATTTTGGCTGAAGGCCCTTCAGACTATTTTTTTTTTTGGGGGGGTTGGCTCAGAGTGCCTTTTTTTGAAACGTCAGCCCTGGCCGAGACTTTCCAACGGCTCACATCTTCCACACCAGGTTCCAAGTTCGGGTTTAATACTACTCCGACGGTCCTGGACGAATAACGTGGACAGAGCTGCGGTTAACCTGTGCTGGTTAAAATGCGGGAGTACCGCGGATCCAACAGTATGAAGAAAAAAAAAGAGGGAGTTGTGCGCTCGGCGCACGTGCGTTTCTGGTATGACCGACAAAAGCGGGGAGTTGGGTGAACGACGACTTGCCGAGATTGTAGGGGCAGCTGCGACAACACTGTTCCAGCTGGAATTCGACACTGTTTTCAAAGTTTTCGAAGTGCGGCAGAGCTTTCGGGAGTCGTCCCTGGTTGATGGGGCTACTGGCCAAGGCACGAAAGCCTAGAACCTGTTTTGGTGTTATGGCGGGCGCAATGATGGGTGAAAGTCGGCGCGCTGCTCAACGCCCGGTGCCAGACGGGGAATTCTTCGGGAACCAGCGACGCAGCTGTTAAGCACCAGCAGTTTGGGAGTACCTGGTAGCGGTGAAGCGGAGTTGTGGGAGAAGCTAAGTTCAGGGGCGTGCAGTCTACCCGACGAACTGGGTCACACTTCATGTTCACAGCTGGGCATCGTGTCTCCGACGTTTACGGGTTTTTTTAAGCAGTGTTGCAGCTGGTTTCAGGGCAGCGGTCCCTGGGTTTCCGATAAAACCGCGTGGAGCGGCTCTGTGTTGACCGCTGATGTGGTACCCGATATCTTCCGGGGTACGAACGATATCGCCCGACATTCTCGGACTGCTTTGATTTCATGGAGGAAAACGAGAGTGGCGGCTGTTTTGGCCCTTGCCAAAAATTTCGGTGTGTACGGACAACAAAAGCTAATGCAGCTGGCGTCATTTGACCTTGGGGTCGGCTCGAGGTGTTCACTGGATTGTTCTAATACAGGTTACCTTCCTTTGCCATCGTCGTCAACCTCTCGCCAACACCCGCTACCACCTCCATCCTCAATTCGCTTATTTTCGCTCGCCTGTGTAAACAAGACCGCCCGCGCCATTCGCCATCCGCCGAAGCAGTATCCAATCAAGAAGATTTGGAAGCGGGACAGTTGACGCTGTGTTGGGGCCAGCTTGCCAGCCGTGTTTTGACTGTGTGTGGAGAAATTTCAGCTCGTTGGAGTCTTCTGGAATAGTTGTTGCTGATTTTCAGAACCTCAGAAGCGGTTGCCCTACAGCAGAATTTTCCTTTGGAGCAGTTTGGACGTTCTACCGGTTGGAGTTTTTTGCGCATCTTCGCAGCAGAGTTGCTCGATTTTCAAGCCGCGGTGTGGGTTTACTTTGCCTACCCTGGAGTTTTACTTGGCTCGTTGGGAGCTGTTTCTTCTTGGAGGGGGGGAGAAGTGCAGCTGTGCTGCAAACTTTAGATGACCCCTCCGGCGTGTTCTATTATCCATCTCCGCCCGACATGCGTTTCAGTTACGCTTTCTCGTCGACGTTCGTCTATTCGTTGATGGAGTTCGCCAAATTCCACAGCCACGAACGCGCGCGTATGCTTGTATGTGTCACGAACGACCTCGCGACTTGATGAACGGTTCCTTCTAGTCTCGACAAACCCTCGGCCACGTCATCACTCATGTCATCATTTCATCAACCACGCACCATCACCAACAGCCAGATTGACTGCTACCAGTTTCAAAAGGAGTTTTCGCCAGTACCTGTTCGGTCAACTGAAGAATTCGACAATCTTCGACGACCAAGATTAAAGGCGACCGTTTCGACGTTTTCTGACCATCAATCATATTTCGAGTTGAAGACCTCGTCAAGCCGGCGTAATCATTACGCTCGTCATTGTGAAGAAGACCTACAATCACATCGGGGATTACTTTTCATGACTCGACCTTCGATATACGGAAGGCCATATCTAGAAGGTGGGAGAGTGTAAGGAATTAACATTCCTTACTGCGCTGGACTACATCGCGTACACCCGAAGACCTCGAACTCGCAGGTTCGGCCATTATTGTCGGCCCAGACCTCCCCGAGTCGCGTTCCGACACCCTCGACACCCAACCAAACCATTCACGTCCCATTGTTCTATT